AAAGTGTCTGAATAAAAAAAGAAAAAAAAACGGGTAGGTTTATAGAAAAATTTAATTAATTTACATTGATTAAAAATCAAAAAGTGGAAGAAGTGTCGTCAATTCTGAAGGCACACTTTCCCAAAAAGAAAATAATTCTATATTATCTTGTCGACAACGTAACTCAAAATTAAATTGGACTTTATGCAAATTTACTTGCTATTGTATTGGACATATTGTATGACTATTATTATTATACAACAAGCGAATTTTGATTCATTGGGGTAAAAAGGGCTATATACAATCACTTTGTAAAATAATACCAAGGGAATACAATATACTGAAAAAGTATTATTTTTTTTTTTTCTAGAATGATCAATATATGGGAATGGTGCTTTTCAATTATTTGTTAGGCAAGAAAAACAAATTTCTCCAACGGGTTTTTGATTTAAATTAAAATCAAAAATAGTATTATTTATTTTTAGACAATTAGAAGAAGCGCTGTCAGTTCTGAAGGCACACTTTCCCAATAAAATAGCAAGTAAATGTTCTTTACAATAGTGTACTTGACTGAAATCAAATTTTTTACGAATACTCGAAAACCAATTTATTCAAGGATATGTAATTTATTTCGCAATTATTTTGAATATTCGTAACTATTTTGAATACTTTGGATACTTGTAATTATTTGGATATTCATAACTATTTTGGATATTTTGGATACTTTGGATATTCATTTTAAATACTTGTGTTTATTTTGAATACTCCGTAATTATTTGGAAAATCTTAATTATTTTGGATATTTGTAACTATTTTGGATGCTTGTTTTTATTTTGAATACTCGTTTATTTTGGATATTTTGGATACTCGTAACTATTTAGGATATTCATAACTATTTTGGATACTTGTATTTATTTTTGCATATTCGTAATTATTTGGTGCTAGTAACTATTTTTGATATTCGTAACTATTTTGGATACTCGTAACTATTTTGAATACTTGCAATTATTTTGAATATTCGATATACATGTTCCATGCATTTTGTATGGAATATGTACGGAATTATACATGAAAATGGCACATATTTGTCCTAAAAATGTCCTGAAAATGCATTCTGTACATTTTCCATACATTTTCAGTGCATTTTCAGGGCAAATATGTACGGAAAAGTAATCTTTTAATGTATAATTCTGTACACATTCCATACAGAATATGCGGAAAATGTATGGAAAAACCATACATTTTCTGACTAAATTTTTTATATGATACATTGTTGTAATTGACTGAGCTTTATTGTGGGAATTTTATGAAAATTAGATCTTTTTAAGATGAGTATATATCGGGAATATGGTTAAGCTATGTTTTTATTAAATAACAATATAATATCAAAAATTTTTATTTATAAATTTGCTATAAACAAAGTCACTCAGCACGATAGTCCATTCTAAAAGAAAACTGATGTTAAATCACCATCATTATTTATTTGTTGCATTTTTCACACACAATTTCATCTTTCATTTTGTTCATTTCGGCCATTATTGATTTTCTCATTTCGACCATTGATTCGTTAATTTTCCTGATTTCTTCGTTTAGAGGTCCATACTTTTGACTTTCATCTATTATTTCATCCTTCTTTTGTTCATAATCTATATAGACACGCAAAAGACATTGAGTCACTGTTGTTGAAATAGCCAGAAAGACACCAGGTGCTGCTTTCTCCTCTGTAAAGAAGGACACATTTCTTGTTAAAGAGAGAACCAGTATAAATATGCATGCTTTGACAAAGTAAAAATCAATTGGCCATTTTAACACAATAAATAATGTTTACAGAATATTCGGGAGATAAAACCATCCAGGAATAAACAATTTTTGATCCAAAGATCTGTTTCCCTTGACACAAATTAATATAAAAAAAAATGAATATTGTAGCTAAAAATATCTCAAATAATGTAGGAATACTATACTAATTGTATCAAAAAGATGTCTAGTTGTAATAATAAAGTCCAGAATGTTGGAATGACTATCGCTGGGAAAAATATCAAGAAATAAAAGATATTATAAAAGAAAGAGGATCATCTTCAATTGTTTTATTCTTAATTATCGCTCCTACTGCGCAAGTTACATGCAAAGCCATGTTTACAAATGAAAATATCTTTATACTCAGCAAATCATCGTAGGCCAAAGAGACCACCAACGGAATCACCCAAGTGACAGTATTGTATAATAAGTCATCCAGTAATGGTAACATTACATTTTTGATGCGTCCGGTCTACCCTGAAACATTGAACAGAACGACAAACAAAACCGGAAAGAATGTGTTGATAATTGCATCATATACATCCTCTTCAGAGTTATACTCTTCGTCAATAATGAACGCACTCACAAATGGAAGGAGTGAAAGAAACAAGATAAACTTGAATAGAGATCGTTTGAAGGGAAAATAATTGTTCATGTCGAATAATAGGATAAAGTTTCTCTCATAGACTTATTTTATTGATTGATTTTTATAGACAATGTATTCTCAATCAAAAGTATTAATTAATATATATTAATAACTCCGAAATCAAAGAATCATTTCTTTTTTGGACTTGTTTATGTGAACTACTATGAATTAACCAAACTTTATTTTGATTCATTTGGATAAAAAAGGCCATATAATCATATGAGAATGGTGCTTTTTAATTATTTTTTAAAAGGAAACAGCAACAAAGAAGTGTCTAAATGAGGCAAGAAAAAGAAACTGGCAGGTTTATAGAAAAATTTACATTGATTTTTTATCTTTAAACAAGTAGAAGTGTCATCAATTCTGAAGACACACTTAACTAATCATCATCTAAACTTATTTATTGTGATTATTCATAATGCATTAATTATGAATATATTTATATATTTTTATTATATCATTTTTTATCATTATTAAATTTTTGCTATATATAATGATGTATGTAATATAGTAAAATAAATAAATGTATACTGTTAGTGATGAAATCACCCGGCACAATAGTAACTGACCTTTCTAAATGAAAACTGGTGTTTATTAACTATTGTGGTTTATCTATTTGCTACCTTTTTCACACAATTTCATCAATATGTCTTGATTTTTCCATTCTGTCTATCCTTTCAGCCATTGATTTGTTCATTTCGGCTATTGATTTGTTCATTTCTTCCTTTAGAGTTTCATACTTTTGACTTTCATTCTTTTGAATTTCTTTCATTTCGTTCATTGATTTTTTCATTTCCCTGATTTCTTCCTTTTCAGCCATTGATTTGCTCATTTCCCTGATTTTTTCCTTTAGAGTTTCACTTTCATTTATTATTCGCTTTTCTTCTTCACCCCCTAGCACTGTATCCATAAATACGCGCATTCTAACTTGAGTGTATGTTGTTGAAGTAGCCAGAAAGTCATCAGGTGCTGGTTTCTCCTCTGTAAAGAAGGAGACATTTCTTGTTAAAGAGAGAACCAGTATAAATATGCATACCTTGACAAAATAAAAATCGATTGGCCATTTTAACACAATAAATAATGTTTGCAGAATATTCGGGAGATAAAACCATCCAGGATAAAATAATATTATAACAAACTTCTGATACAATGCTTTCTTAAATATTTCTGCTGTGCCACAACACACTGTAAGACAATCTAGGTATAAACAAAAGAATATTGTAGCTAACAATATCCCAAATGATGTAAGGAATATCAAACTAATTGTATCAAAAAGATGTCTAGTTGTTATAACAACAATCCAGAATATTGGAATGACTATCGCTGGGAAAAATATCAAGAATAAAAAGATAAAGAAGAGATAATCAGGATCATCTTGAACTTTTTCATTCCTAATTATCGCGGCTACTGCGCAAGTTACATGCAAAGCCTTGTTTACAAATGAAAATATCTTTATACTCAGCAAATCATCGTAGGCCAAAGAGACTACCAGCGGAATCACCCAAGTGACAGTGTTGTATAATAAGTCATCCAGTAATGGTAACATCACATTTTTGATGGGTCCAGTCTTTCCTGAAACTTTGAATAGAAGAACAAAAAAAACTGGAAATAACGTGTTGAGCATTGCATCGTACACATCCTCTTCAGAGTTATACTCTTCGTCAATAATGAGTGTATTCGCAAGCGGAATGAATGAAAATAAAGTGATTTTCCACAAAATAAAATTCGAGAGAAAATAATTGTTCATATTGAGTAATGGGGAAATTTTCTCTCATGAGACTTATTTTATAGATAATATATTCATAATAGCAAAGACAAATATTTCTTTGTAAAATTCAGCGGGAAGATGTAACGGTAGACCATAATTATGCACGAAGTAAATTAATTTAAATTTTAATTAAAAAATCCACAAAGGACGATCGCGTGATTGAATTCTAATAAACAAAATCTTTAATTCATAAAATATAAATTTAATAAACATAATATGCGTAATACAAGTGCATCGGGAAAAATTAATCTTTAATTCATGCAAAGTTCTTTTAAAAGTCTCAATTGAAACATTATTATTGAATTTACTTTATAATTTTTTTTTAGCGATGTTGATTTCTTTTCTTCTTGTTCAATATATAAAATCCTTAAATTTTTTAACTTCTAAGAAAAGATATTTTTCCTTTTTTTCTTGAATTTGTAACAATTTTCAACTGCGTGCAAGTCTGATTTCTTGAAAATACCTGAATTCATTAAAAGGAATCCATTCAATAAAGTAATTTTTAATCATGAATAAATTTGGCTAATTCTTTCATCTCCATTTTTGTCAGTTGATATTAAAATATCATTTTATGAAAAACCAAACCAATAAATTTATAATTTAAAGATTTAACCAGTGAGGGTTCCTTTTATCATGATTTATATTGTTGTTGAGTTTCATTTTTCGGATGTAATTTCTTAAGTGCTCTTTGAATTCATTACCTTTCCTTCAAGTGCAATTTCTGATGCTCTTCTTGCTGGCTCTACTACCAAAATTTCATGATTTAATAACGTTAATATAATAGTCATTTAAGAAACTTGGACAATAACTTCAATTAATTTCAGTGTGTCTCCCTTGTGCTCGCCTGCATCCTAATCCTCGCCATCCTTTCTCTATTAAATTTGGAACTGCTGTAGTGACGTCAAGTGGCAAAATATTCGATTTGGGTATCTTTCTTTATTAATTTCTGTTAAGTCATCACTTGCAAACTACAGTAGATTCGTGAATCGCCTATCACGTCCTTTGGTAAAATATGAGAGTCTTTGGTTGACGTATCATCTAGTACGACCTTTGGTAAAGTGCGAAAGACTTTAGTTGATGTATCATGTTTGATTACTTTGTTATTCATGAAATGAAATAAAATTCAATCAATCAACCCTCTCGATTATCAAACAATTCCACTGTGTTTCTTGCCTTTCGCCTGCATCTTTTGGTTTTACCATTTCTGCTTGACATGGATTTTTCATGTTCAACAATTCCTTCTAAAAAATTTCTTATGATATTGGACAACCTTTTCATGTTCATATTCATGGCCATCATAATAAATGCCTAAATGATATCTTTGATATGAACACCCTGAAATATAAGTAATTATAAATGATCAAAAATTTATCCCAATCTAAATTAATTCATTTAAATATGTAACAAGACTTATTGATTGAAGCTTTTATCTTTGATTTCTTCATTAAGCTCTTCCATTATTTTTACGCTTTCTTGTAACCAATCACATCGTCAATAATGGTCCAAGTTTTTCAAAAAATAGACTATTATTAAAGTCACGCGTATTGAAATTTTATTGTAATTTGATTGGATAATTTCCAATATGTAATAGTCGAATTTTTTACCAACACGTTATTATTATTATTATTATACAGTATTTTCGGGGCCAAATATTTAATCATTCAAAAAAAAAAATTAAACTAATCATCTGACCCTTAGGATATGATGCAATGAAAATTCAGAGTGGGGCATTGGGCTCTGAAAATCAAGTTTTTGGATTTTGCATCTGAGTTGAAACCTCTCCTACGTTCAGATACTTTGTCACTATGAAACAGATGATTACTGACATCAAACAGAAATTCACCAAAAATACATGAGTTAATCACTGACAATCTTTGTAATGATTATTAATTCATTTTCCTAATTTTTCTTTTCTCTTGATCAATTTTTATCTTAATAAACTTATCAACAGATAAATGAAATCTATTGCATCAGTCCTCATTTCATCTTGAATACAAATAAATGGATTTTGCAGCATGAGAAAAATTTAAATATGTCAAATTAATTCATTAGGTTTTTTTTTTGTTAATAAATCTAATTCTACATTGAAATCTTCAAGATCAAAATTATTCTTGGCGTATGTATGTCATCATAATTTGGTTTTTGGGCATCAGCATGGTTATAGGTATGAAATCATCAAATTTGTTCATATTATTTTAGTTTCTTACACAAAAATCATCTAATTCCCAGATAAATAAATAATCAGAACTAGCTATATAACTAGATTTTGATTTATTTCGCTGCCAGAAGTCATTGTTGGCATTGGACACAATTCCCAGCACCAACCCATCCCTTACCATGGCAATAGCAAAGAAGGAGCTTGTATAGGCGTAGAAAGAATGGTTCTATTAAATATACACCTAAACTTAACATATCGTTTGTTTTATTTTCTGGGAATGATTTTTAAGGAATCTAGAATTTCTAATTGTATACAATTGGAAGAAAAGTAGTTTTTGAAAGAATTTTGGAATTTTATTTTTGCGAAATCAAAGACGCGTATTATTTCATTTTTGCATGGTCTTAGGCATTGTTGCTACTTTATTATGAATAATAACATCAAAATGCATTGCAAAATCATCATGAATATTTCAATAGACATGATACAATAGTTGTGACGGTGCTCTCATTCAAAGAAGAATTAAATAAAAACAAAAAGGAAAAGAAAGCAATATTTATTTATTTTGACTCAATTAAAAGAAAAATACATAACAATTTTAATTTATATGTATAGGTATTAAATATTACAAGATAGAAAGCCACTAGAACAGTTTCATGAAAAGCCCTTGATGAATATTACCAATTATTTGGAGATATCTTTTCCATATTGACTCATTCCTGAATTGCGTCTACGAAAAAAAAATCAACAAACAATGTCTGAAGCCAAAGAACGAAATACAGAGACTGACAACACAAATGATATCTAAAACCTTTATTTTAATAACATTAAAATATTAAAATCATTTTAATCTCTGATTTCTGAAGGATATGATGTAACATAATTTCAGGGTTAGATGGGAGGACTGTGAATTTTAATTGAAATTGCATGTTGGTAAAACACTGAGGGAAATTGGTTTACTCTAGAAATATTTAGAAAATGTTAGTTAAAGGGATTAATTTTACCAACTTGATCACTGTCAAAAACATTCTCAAACTAATAATTCTAGTGTGATCATCATGATTTACAAGATCATCAATCATTGGGTCCAAAAATCAGAGATTTTTCTTAAAAAAAAAAGTGAATCTATCACCATCACCAAAACCTTTAACGTCGCTCAATTACAACCATAAATGAATATCAAAGAAGGAAATAATATGTGATTTTCCCTTAATAAGTTTCATCTTTTCATGGCCTTAGTATTATTGTTGTATGTGAAAAATAAAGACAATTACTTGTTTATCATCCAAAATACTATAATCTACAATTACATTTTCTGGTTGTAATGAACCAACCCATACCAAGTGCCTAAATAAATCATAATAATAATCTATTAATATAATTAATTCAATCTTGCAATCATAATAAGATTTTTAATTATTATTATTAAATTACCTTTGAAACGTCTTTACCAGCAAAAATATTATAGATTCATCCACTTTTTAGATCAAAATTGTACCTTTTATGGCTATATAGATTAGTTTGTACCATCATAGTAATGTGTGTATATATATTGGGGTCTGTACTAGGAAAATCAAGCTTCCAGCTATTTTTTTTTTTTTTTTGTCTTTTTACTAACAATAATCTCTAATAAAGGATTTACAGTTGG